AGCAAGGTTGAGCAAACACAGAAACCGATTGTTCCTCGGACAGGGCCAAGACTAGAGTTCCAAGAAAAACCTCAATTGCCCGCGCTCCGAACCCTAGCCTCATTTGAATTGTCCAATCAGGGTCCTGTTATTAAGCTTCTTGCTTCTGTCCCGCGCTTTTTGCTATAAAAGAACCCCTGAGTCCCCAACTCGGGGCGCTCTCAGTTCCCGAGACTGAGACGCCCAGGTACCCGTGTGTTACCAATAAAGCCTCTTGCTGTTGCATCCAAGCTCGTGGTCTCGTTGTTCCTTGGGTTCAGGTCTCCCTTCCGTGAAAGTATCCCTTTTGGGGTCTTTCAAAAATAGAGTGGACCACAAAAAAAAAGTCCCCTCTCCACATAATAATCAAGAACCCAAGCATATAGAATAAAGAAAGAATACTTAGAGCAGCTAAGGAAAAAGGTCAAATAACATATAAAGGCAAACCTATCAGAATTACACCTGACTTCTCCATGGAAACTCTGAAAGCCAGATGCTTCTGGATAGATGTCCTACAAACACTAAGAGGCCATGGATGCCAGGCAAGACTACTATACCCAGCAAAGCTTTCGATCACTATAAATGGGAAAACAAGATATGCCATGACAAAACCAGGTTTAAACAATACACATCCACTAACCAGTCCAACAGAAAGTTCTAGAACGAAAACTCCTCCACTGCTGGTGGGAGTGCCGACTCATACAGCCTCTTTGAAAATCAGTATGGAGATTCCTCAGGAAAATGGGAATTAATATACCACTAGACCCAGCAATTCCACTCTTAGGCATATATCCAAATGAGGCAAGTTCATACAACAAAGGCATCTGCTCCACTATGTTCATAGCAGCATTATTTGTAATAGCCAGAACCTGGAAGCAACCTAGATGCCCCTCAACTGAAGAGTGGATAGAGAAAATGTGGTACATTTACACAATGGAGTATTACTCAGCAGAAAAAAACAATGGAATCTTGAAATTCGCAGGGAAATGGATAGCACTGGAAGAAACCATCCTGAGTGAGATAACCCAGTCGCAAAAAGACAAACATGGTATGTACTCACTCATATATGGATCAGGATAGTGCCAGTCTGCACTTCCACTGATAGAGAGTCTGGGAAACAGGAAAGAACCTAAAAGATATGCATATATGCATAGTACCCAAAAGAAGAGGATTGAGACAAGATCCTCTGAATGGATGGGGAACATGGCGAGGGGTGGGGGGGAGTGGGACCTGGGAAGAAGAGAGGGGGGTGTAGAGGAAGAGAGTTGGTCATGGGGGAACAGGAAGTTGAGGGGGTGGGGGTAGAATAGGGGGAAGAGGGAATCATAGGATCAAATACAGATCAGGCACCAGAGTGACCTCGAGTGATCTAAAGGGATAACACCAATTGGCAAGCTAAGCAATAGTGGAGAGACCACCTCAAATGCCCATTCCTGATAATGAACTTGATGTCTATAACCATCTGGGAGCCTTCATCCTGTGACTGATGGAAGCAGACGCAAACACACAATTAATCACTGAACTGAACCCAAGGAACCCAGTGACAAAAGACCCAGGATAGCCAAAACAACCCTGTTCAACAAGGCAACATCCAGAGGCATCACCATCCCTGACTTCAAGTTCTATTATAGTCCTGAAAACAGCTTGGTATTGGCACAAAAATAGACAGAGAGACCAATGGAATCGAATTGAAAATCCTGTTATTAACCCACATACATATGAACACTTGGTTTTTGACAAAGAAGCTAAAATTATGCAATCGAAAAAAGAAGGCATATTCAACAAATGGTGCTGACATAACTGGATGCTGGCATGTAGAAGACTACAGATAGATCCATGTCTATTGCCATGCACAAAACTTAAGTCCAAATGGATTAAAGACCTCAACATAAATCCAGCCACATTGAACCTCTTAGAAGAGAAAGTAGGAGGTACCCTTGAACAAACTGGTACAGGAGACCACTTCCTGAACATAACTGTCCAGTAGCACAGACGAGATCAACAATTAATAAATGGGACCTGCTGAAACTGAGTAGCTTCTGCAAGGCAAAGGACACAGTCAACAAAACAAAAAAAGCAGCCCACAGAATGGGAAGTTATTCATTAACCCCACATTTGACAGAGGGCTGATCTCCAAAATGTACAAAGAACTCAAGAAGCAAGTCTCCAAAGCACCAAAGGACCCAATTAAAAAGTGGTCTACAGAGTTAAATAGAGAATTCTCAATAGAGGAGACTAAAATGGCTGAGAGACACTTAAGAAAGTGATCAACATCCCTATCCATCAAGGAAATGCAAATCAAAACAACTCTGAGATACCATCTTACTCCTGTCAGAATGGCTAAAATCAAAAACACCAATGACAGCTTATGCTGGAGAGAATGTGGAGAAAGGGGAACACTCCTCCACTGCTGGTGGGAGTGCTAACTGGTACAGCCACTATGGAAATCAGTATGGAAATTCCTCAGGAAAATGGGAATCAGTCTACCACAAGACCCAGCAATTCCACTCTTAGGCATATACCCAAAAGATGTCCATTCATACAACATGGACGTCTGTTCCACTATGTTTATGTCTGTTCCACTATGTTTATAGCAGCATATGTTTATAGGAGCATATGTTTATGGCAGCATATGGAAGCAACCTAGATGCCCCTCAACTGAAGAGTAGATAGAGAAAATGTGGTACATTTACACAATGGAGTACTACTCAGTGGAAAAAAAAAACAATGGAATCTTGAAATTTGCAGGCAAATGGATGGCACTAGAAGAAACCCAGTCACAAAAAGACAAACATGGTATGTACTAACTCATATATGGATTTTAGACAAGAATCAGGGGAGTGCCAGTCTACAATCCCACTGCCAGAGAGTCCAGGAAACAGGAAGGACCCTAAGAGAGATATGCATGGTACCCAGAGAAGGTGGAATGAGGCAAGATCTCTTGAGCAGATTGGGAGCTTGGAGGGGAGGGGAGAGGGAGCCAGGAATAAGAGAGGGGGAGAAGAAGAGGGGAGAGGAGGACATGGGGGAGCAGGAGGTTGAGTTGGGAAAAGAATATAGGAGAGCACAATGAGAGATACCATAATAGTGGGAGTCATTCTAGGTAGATCTCCAGAGATCTACAAGGATGACACCAACTGGCAAACCAAGCAGTAGTGGAGAGACTACTTTAAATGCCCCTCCCTGATAAGGATTTTGACGACTATCTTACATACCATCCTAGAACCTCCATCCAGTGTCAGAAGGAAGCAGAGGTAGACACCCACAGCTAAACACTGAACAGAACTCCTGGAACCCAGTGACAGAGAGGGAGGAGTGATGAGCAAAGGGGTCAAGACTGGGCTGGTGAAACCCAGAGAAACAGCTGACCTGAGCAAGGGGGACCCCAGACTGACGGCTGAGAGGCCAGCATGGGACTGATCCAGACCCCCTCAATATGGGTGTCAGTGTGGAGACCTAGGCAATCTATGGGGCTTTGGGTAATAGGTCAGTATTTATCCCTGGCACACAAATGGACTTTGGGTGTCCATCCCACAATGAGGGAATGCTCTCTCAATCTGGACTCTTGGGGGAGGGCCTGGGCCCTCCCCGTGACAGACTCTAGAGATACCCCATGGAGGGCCTTACCCTCCCTGGGGATTGGAGTGGTGATTGGGTGGGGGGCTAGGGAAGAGCGGGCATGGAGTGTAGGGAGAGGAAGCTGGGACTGACATGATAATCAAGCTTCTTTCTAATTTAAATATATAATAAAAAAGTGTTTCAAAAAAAGCGCAAAAAAGACCAATACTCTATTAAGTTAGAAAAATCTAAAAAGAAAGAATAAAAAAGAGACATTTCTAGATTGACAAGAACCATCAAATTTAAGCCAAGAAGAGTTCAACAACTTAAACAAACCCTTAACAAATAAGGAAATTGGGAGGGCAATAAAGTCTTCTGAATTAAGGAAAAAAAAAAAACGATCAGATGGATTCACATCAGAATTCTGCCAAGCTTTCAAAAAGGATCTACAACCAATGTTTTGTAAATTACTGAGAAAAAAGGAAAGAAACAGACAATGCACTTCCAAACTCCTTTTATGAAGTCAGTATTTCTCTAATACCCAAGCCAGGTAAAGGCACAACCAAAGAAAGAAAAATTCAAGCCAATATCCCTGATACATATGCAAAGATTCCCAATAGCCATTTATTTTTAATATTCCTATGTGTTGGTACTAATGTTAATGAAGCCTTCCCTGAGCAATGATGAGGACTATACTCTCCACTTGGATCCAAATCTCACACTCTTGTAATACTACCTTTCAAATAATGAAATATGAATAATCCTGTTACCATTTACATGTCTCTACCTGACAAAATTTTAATCCTATAGAAAAATTAATGAAAGAAAATCTTGCATTTCTCACTCAAAAAAACTTTGCAGCTGGTATATTTTCAACTATTATTGGACAACATTGGAAATTTTAATAATTTTGAACATTTGAAGCAAGAAACCCAATCATCTTTTAAGCGCATGAATTCACTTAATAGGTACAACAACCTTAATGGGTAGAAACTTTTATTATACAGATAAAAAGCTGCGATGTACTAAAAAATGAGAGACTTGACCCAAGACACCTAGAGATTTGAGCGAGAACCTAAGAGTCCGTGTTCTGAAATTATAAGCCAAGCAAAACAAATCACTAGATGGGAAACTATCTATTAACTGAATCTGGGACTTTAAAAGACCTAAAGTCACAGGGATGGATATGGGTTATTACTCATGCAATTGCGCTGACTTAACAAGTAAATCAAGCGTAACTGTGGTTTCTTCGTGACTTAGCAAAACAGTAATCAATCTGGCAGTCGCTGAATGTTAATCCATGGTCTAAGAATCACATGAAAGCACCTAGGAGGCAATAAGGGGCCTAGGGACCTAGGATGGCCGGTGGCAGGGGCTGCAGGACAGGGCACAGACCGGCCGGACCCATAGTGGAGGGAACCTGCTTCCTGCCCGGAAGAAGACAGCAATCTGGAACGGACCGACCACCGGCGCCCAGAGGACCTGGCGGAGAGTGGAAGGTGCGCGGTGGCAGGTACGTTCCAAGACCTTCCTGGGAGATTCGAACTCCCAGTTTCCGTAGATTCTTTTCCTTACACCTCTTCGAAGTGCCCTGGATTCCTACCGTTTTGTCCATGCGCTTCTCTCACACCGGTGGTCCTCGCCCGCACCGCTGCGTGTCTGCTGCCCGGAAGACACTGGGATGCCATGGCGGGCCTTAGCCACAGGCTTCGAGAGCGAATTCTTGGAGAATTCAGAAGAAAGAAAAAGAAGCGACCCTGAGTCCCGCCCCGCTCCTGACACCTGCAAGGACTAGCTAGGGCTAGAAGGCAAGCCCCCGGACACAAGTCAAAGAAGGAAATTGAACTATTGCTGGCCTGTGGACTTGGTGGAGGCCGAGCCTTGAAAGTCACAAGTCAGTCTGCTCAATAGAGAAGCCACCAAGCACTGAGTCGCTGAATTAATTGCAAGGTTTCACTTGGCAAAACCACATTTGTTGAAAGAATCTGGACTTAGGAAATTAGGAGAAGAGGGTAATTAAGACATCTAGAAAGGGCTGGGCAGTGGTGGTGCACAACTTTAATCCCCACACTCCAGAGTCAGAAGCAGGTGGATCTCTGTGAGTTCGAGGCCAGCCTACTAGTGAGTCCCAGGACACCCAGGACTACACAAAGAAACCATGTCTCAAAAAAACAAACAAACTAGAAATGAATGTGACAGGCGGGCAATAATAAGTAGAATATTAATGTAAAGTTTTCGTTTGTCCCATGGTGGGGACTTCTACCCAGACCTCCACTGCCTGCCCCCCACCACACACACACACATACACACACACACACACACACACACACACACACACACACACACACACACACACACAGAGGCTTCATCCTTGGTCATAGTTACAGGTTATATATGTTCTATGAAGAAAAAAAATGTAGATGATCTAGGCTCGAATTCATTTAGTTCTGGAATCTATTTCTGAGACAGAACAAGTTTTTAAAATGTATTCGAAACATTAGGGACTAAGGAAAATGAAGGGAGAGGTTTTTAAATACTTCAGATTACCCTCTAGTTTAAGTAACAATATCAACCCGTGATTTTTTAACTTTATTCAACAAATAATTTAACTGTTTAGCATGGGGGTCTATTATAATTATTTTTTACCATAAGACTAAAGTTTTTACTAAGAAATTTTAAGTATAATTTTACCCATGTGATACAGAATTGATACTATTTCACTAAACTGAAACTACATAACAAAAATTCATATTTCAAAACCATTAAAAGCTGCTGGTATCCAAGTAATATAAAAAATAAGAAACTGAAATTTCTTTTTTTTAACTTTTTTTAGTTATTTTTATTACATATACAGTGTTCTGCCTGCATATACACCTGCATACCAGAAGAGGGCACCAGACCTCACAGATGGTTGTGAGCTAGCATGTGGTTTCTGGGAGTTGAACTCAGGACCTCTGGAAGAGCAGTCAGTGCTTTTAACTCTAAGCCATCTCTCCAGCCCAGAAAGTGGAATTTCATTTTTTTACCTTTTTTTAATTTAAATTAGAAACAAGCTTGTTTTACATGTCAATCCCAGTTCCCTCTCCCTCCCCTCCTGCCTCCCACCAACCCCCTAATCCACTTTATGCTCCCCAGGGACAGTGAGGCCTTCCATGGGGGATCTTCAAAGACTGTCATATCATTTATAACAGGGCCTAGACCCTCCCCCATGTGTCTAGACTGAGTATCCCTCTATGTGGAATGGACACCCAAAATGCATTTGTATCCTAGGAATAAATACTCATCCATTACCAGAGGTCCCACAAATTGCCCAGGTCTCCTAACTGACACCCACGATCAGGGGATCTGGGTCAGTTCTATTCTGGTTTCCCAGCTGTCAGACTGGGGTCCATGAACTCCCCCTTGTTCAGGTCAGATGTTTCTGTGGGTTTCTCCAGTCTGGCCTTGACTCCTTTGCTTATCACTCCTACTTCTCTGCAACTGGATTCCAGAGTTCAGTTCAGTGTTTGGGTGTGGGTGTCTGCTTCTACTTCCATCAGCTACTGGATGAAGACTCTAGGATGGCATATAAGGTAGTCATCAATCTCATTATCAGGGAAGGGCATTTAAGGTTGCTTCTCAACTATTGCTTAGATTGTTAGTTGGGGTCAACCTTGTAGATCTCTAGACATTTCCCTAGTGCCAGGTTTCTATTTAAACCTATAATGGCTCCCTCTATTATGGTATCTCTTTTCTTGCTCTCCTCTATTCTTCCCCCGACTCAATCTTCCTGCTCTCTCATGTCCTCCTCTCACCTCCTCTTCTCCCCTTCTCTTTCTCCTAACTCCCTTTCTCCCCCCCCCCATACTCCCAATTTGCTCAGGAGATAAAGTGGAATTTCTTGATGGAGTAACATTAGGCAATGTCCAGTTTAACTATATGACCACCAAAAAGATATTTTGAGTAACTGCTTCAGGAATTTTATTTGCCATCCAATACATTGACTTGTGGTCCTTCCCCAAATGTAGAATACTTGAGTGTCAAGTTTGCATTTCACCACCGTTTTCACTTGAAAAAAGTCTAATGACAAGTATTTCACCTTCCCAGTCCCGCATTTAAATGCTGTCTGCATCCTGTGTGAATGAGTTTACCTATGGAATTCTGAAGCATTTTTACGATTAGCTCCATAGGCTTGAAACTTTGTCTTTATCTCAGTTGTTTGCTGTTACTAAAATGATCATATCCAAAAAGAGTGGAAAAGCATTAGAAACATAGAAACATTTTTGTGAGTACATTATTTTCTATGTATCATTTATTTACTAAACATGCTGCCAGACAAAATATGAGACACAAACAAGCTAACAAAATATCTGTGACATAACAAGCAAGTTTAGCATAGTAAGTGAGAATGCTTGCCTTTAAAGTCATGCCTCAGATTGAATGATGTACCAAATTATAAACAGCCAGGCTGATAGACAAAGAGATGAGTGTCAGGTGGTGGCATTATTAGATTTTATTAAATATTAGAGGCAAGCAATTTCTATGCATGTATACATAACCACAAACAGTTTAGGTCTTTTTAGAGAAAATTTGGCAGAGTGGGGTATGGTAAAGAGAAAACAATGCATTTGACTGCTGCTAACATGGAGTATAACAAAAGTTCTCCAAGTAAAATGGAGCTCAGAGGACAATTACTTTCATGTTTGAACGATGACCAGTGTTGTGATACTTCGGGTCTTCCTTAGTATTGTCTGCTCTTCATTGTTTCAGGCATGGATCAAAGCAGTGAAGGAAGTGCTAAAAAAATTAGCAATGTGAATCTTGACAAACTGATAGATGACTTCTCACAGATTGAAAAGGTATGTAAAGACACATAGCAGATGCCTGTAGAGAAAAGGTATGTAAAGACACATAGCAGATGGCTGTAGAGAAACAAAAAAGATTTTCGTCAAAGAGAGAAACTAGGAAAAAGGGAAAATTCATCAGAGAAAAAAAGGGGGGTTGAGCCAGGGCTGGAGAGATTGCACAGTGGTTAGGAACACCAACTGCTCTTACAGAAGATCAGAGTTCACTTTCCAACACCCACTTGGCTGCTCACAACTGTCTGTAACTCCAGTTCCCTGAGATGCAATACCTTCCTATAGCATCTAAGGGCACCACTATACACTTGCGGTATCCTTAGATGCAGTCAGAACACTCACACACATAAAAGTGAGAAGTTTTAATTTTAAAAATATAATGAGCAATGTCTGCATTTGATTCTGTGAGGGGCTGTTTCCTCACTGGGAGTCCCAAATCTTAAGTTATGTTTTTTTCACTGTATGGTGGCGCATAATTAATCCCAGCACTCTGGAAGCAGTGGCAGGTAGATCTCAGAGTTCAAGGACAGCCTGATCTACAGAGCAAGTTCCAGGACAGGCAGGACTACCTAAAGAAACCATGTCTCAAGAGGAAAAATGTGTGAATTCATAGCAATGCTGATTTATTGTCTCCAAATCTCAAAGAATGCCAGGAATTTGAAAACACCAATAAACTTCCTTTTTTCACTGTATGTTATTATAGTAAAATGTATCATTTTTGTTAAATAAATATACTTTTTTAATTTTAAAAAAATAAGCCAGATTGAATAATGGAGATGTATTTTGCTAAATCCTTGTATTTTGAAACTTTAATATTTTATTCTTTCTCCAATAATTTTATATATGTATACAATGTTTCTTATCGTGTCCAACTCAAATCCCACACACACATACCATGGAACACCCACAGTACTTCCCCTTCCCACCTTCTCATCACCATCCTCTTCCTCCTCCTCCTCTAGCTTCTCCTCCTCCTCCAGCTTCTCCTGCTCCTCCAGCTTCTCCTCCTCCACCTACTCCTACTCCTCCTCCTGCCCCAGCTTCTCCTCCTCCACCTACTCCTACTCCTCCTCCTCCAGCTTCTCCTCCTCCTCCGGCTTCTCCTCCTCCAGCTTCTTCTCCACCTCCTCCTACTCCTCCTCTAGCTTCTGTTCCTCCTCCTCCTCCTCCTCCTCCGCCTCCTCCTCCTCCTCCACTTCCTCCTTCTCCTCCTACTCTTTCTTTAATACCTCACCAAGTCTGGTTAGTATTTCCCAAATGCACAGGGATGTGGGACACCCACCAGAATATGGTTTGCCTACCAGCAGCCACACAGATACCCCAAGAAATATCCCCCTTACACCACAATCAGTTACAAGGAGCCTCTCAGCCAGAGGAAGAGCCTCGTGGGCCCTTCCCTACACCTTCTGGACTGTTGGCTGGCTTGATCTTGTACAGGCCATGCTCTGAGTCCATGAGGACAACAGCCATGTCCCAGCCAAAAGGCAGCGTTTCACAACACTCTTCCTCATCATCTGGCTCTTATATTCTTCCTACCTCCTCTTCCATATTGCCCTTTCACATTTAAACTTACTTTTACTAGTATATAAAAAATGTTCCTAGAGCAGGAAGCAAACAGTTGTTTCATTTTTGCTAAAGTTAAGGGAATGCCAGAATGCCCACAAACTCCAAAATAGTTTTAATGAAAGATAAAATAGGTTCATGTTTCAGTCTTCTGCCATGATGATAAATTATAATATAGAACATATGAACATACGTGTGTTTAGATTTTCCCCTATCCTCTCTGTTCTCCTTTTCTTCTCTTTGCCTAAAACTTAGTCCAGAGATTAATATAGCAACAGGGAAAAAAAATAAGTACTCTTGTGGAAAGGGAATCAATGCTATATGTTGAGACATTAATTTGGAAATATCTTATCCTCAAGTATCTTAAATAAAAATAATTGTCCCTCTTTAATTTGATATGGTATTGTGACATTTAGAATTTTACCTCTGAGAGAGATACATCAATCGGAATACAGATGAAGTGATACAGTGTCAGCTGCTGAAGTTAAAGGGGGAAGGGGATAGAGATACAGACAACACAAGCTTGATGATGAATCGATAGATGTGAAGACTACAAGGAAGCTTATACTGCTTACAAAGACACCAGAGACATGCATGTCCAAAATGCTTCTTTATTGTCTATAATAGAAAAATTATAAGCAACAAAATTTTCCCTAAAAGCATCTTCAAAAGTAAGACTCAGAATAGCTGTAAAAAGAATGCAATAGATTTGTGATTGTGATATCGTCTTTCAGAAAATAATTCTAAGTGGAACATCTAGGTGCAGAACAGAGAAAATAGCATAGTGTGTCAACATAAAGTCATCTGGAAACAAAAGTTTTAAGACCAAACCTCATTGTAGTGTTCAGGTTGGACATGAACTCCTGGACTTCAGCCTCCGCAAACAGCTACCATTGTGTTTGGTAGACGCCTGTGATTAACATGTAACTAAAGGCTGAATAATTGAAAGAAAGATACTCCTGCTAGGTCATATTTTCCTCCTGTTTATAACAGGCTGATTTAATATTTTACCATGCCCCTCCCTGTGTGTGTGTGTGTGTGTTTGCTGGAACCCAAGAGGTTCTCGTGAATGGTAACATAGCGCTTTATCACTGGCCTGCATTCTCAACCCTACCACGTTGCTTTTAAAATAAGTCAGGAAGTCATATTAATTGTGATGAGGGTGTTCACTGCAGTGACTGCCATTTGTGCCCTCCGTGTGCAACCTGCTTTACGTGCACGTAGAACTTTTCAGACTATTATGCCATTGTGCTCTTCTTCTTAGTATAGTTTCAAATACATGAAAACCTAGAATGAAGGAATTTCTCTGCTACCAGAAGCTATGCATGTAAGAAAGGGAAAATCAAAGGCTCAGTACACTATAGTTTATTTGAAATTATATCCAAAATTCGGTTTTTAGACTTTCAGATGTTAAATGGTTTTTGTTCTCATTTGACTTTATATTCTTAACAAAAGAATCAAAATTGATTTTTGTGATAACATGTTCCCAATTTCTTCTGCAGAAAATGATAGAAATCACGGGAAAGAATAACCAACTGGATATTCAGCTGGAGAAGACTAATAGTTTATTAAAGATAATGCAAACAAAAGAGACCACAATAAAAGAAGGTCAGTCCTTTGCTGCCTAACAAAACATTAGTCTAATGAGGGTGGTCACTACAGGGACTGATGGTATGCCATGTGTTTGTCACCTACCTTAAGTGCCTGCATAACTTTTCAGACTGCTGTCTCATTGGACTCTTTTTTAGTATAGCTCCAAAATATGCACACAAAAAAAAACTAGAATGAAGAAAGTTAAGTCTTCAACCAAATACTACCCATGTAACAAAAGGCAAATTGAAGGCTCAGTTCAGGTCTATAAAACCACATGGGGCAAACCTTGAGTTCCAGTTTTCAGAGTTTAAAATGAAGCTATGATATGAGCTGACAAGGTGACTCAAAGGGTAAAGGCACCTGTAGTCAAGTCCAATGCCCTGGTTTTATCCACAGGATCCACATAGGAAAAAGAACAACTCCTCAAAATCATCCTCTGTCTTAACACATGCCACACTTGCGTGCACACACACACACACACACACACACACACACACAAAGAAAGCAGTAAAATGTAGGAATATTGTTTCAATGAAGCTATGCACATGTATTTCCTATTGATTTTTTATTTTTATTTTTATTACTTCTTTTATTTTTTGAGATTACAATAATACCATTTCCCCATTCCCTTTCCTTCTTCCAAGCCCTCCCCATATCACTCCTTGCTCTCTTTCAAATGTATGGCCTCTTCTTTCATTAATTGTTGCTACATGAATATATGTATATGAGTATGATATATATTCCCAAATAAAACCTGCTCAGTCTGTATAATGATATTTGCCTGTATGTTTTCAGAGCTGATAATTTAGCACATTTATTTTCTTTCTGTATCTGAGAGGTCCTAAGTAGCAATGATCCAGTGCTCAGATCTTATCTTCTAATACCTTTCTCTAGCAAAAAGAACTGGGTGAGTGTAGGATTTGAATTAACTTATACTGTAAGATTGAAGTATCTTGTAATGCCACAGGAAGCCAATACTCAAAAACAGAAAAAAAAATAGCCAAGTGTGGTGTTATATTACAAAACTCCAGCACTCGGGATGCTGAAGGAGGTGGGTTATAAGTTCAGTTCAACTGAGGATAGAAAGAGAGAGACTTTCTCTTCCTAAACATTTAAGTGAAAGAAAAGAAAAAATAAACACATAATGATGAAATTTGTCAAAAAACAACTCAGAAATGAACTGAAAGAGCTTCCAATGACCAAAGCTGGAATGACTTCAGCAACAACAACAACAACAAAAAACCCACTGTTGAATTATACCCATAATGCATAATTTATAGCCTCAATCCACTTTTATGAATAAATAGTAAAGGAAGAAAAAAACTGATCTCCGGTGTGGCAGAATTCCAAATTGCTCATGTAGATGATTTGTTCTAGATAGGTGGAGCACGACTCCACTGGTTAAGTGTGGGTCCAGTAAAGAATTTCCTTTTTGTAGGGAAGTACACAGTATAACAAGGTAGATATTAAATCTCATGGTGCTGAGTATTGACACTGGGCAAATTCTACCTCTGCCACGTGATCAGTAAATCAAACACAATACCATATTAACTGTATGTACCTTTGATGCGGTATGATATGATGAAAATGATGCTTTACTTTTGTAAACTTTATCCCCATTTCTGCAACCCCAATCTAATCATAAGATTATCATGCAAACTCCCACAGAAGGACATGACAAAATACCTCACCAGTATTTCAAAGATTGTCAAGGTCATCAAAGCCAAAGAAACAGAACTGTGAGAGCAGAGAAGCGTAAGCATCCTCCCTTCCCTTGGTCCCTGTGGATGTCTGATCTTCACTGGTCATTTTACTGGGTACAGTTCTTCATTTTCCAAATCACCATATAGTTTGAATCACATAATATGCAACTTCTTCAGACTGACTTCTTTGGCTTTATGTTTAAAATTCCTTTGCATTTCTATGCTCAATAAAAAATGATTTTAATTGAACTTTGTGGAGGTACCACAGTTTATTCATTCATCTATTCATCCAAATTTTAGCTGTTAAGAATATGGCTGCTATAGTTATCTCTGTACAGGTTTTGGTGTAGCCTCTTGACTGAACATCAAAGAATTTGGTAAGTTTTGGACACCTTGTAATTGTGATCAAGATGGTAATAATATTAGTGGTGAAGACTAAATACTGGTAGAATCTTTTATATACTTAAGTTAGTTATCTCTCCATTACTGTAACACAAAAAAACTAGGCTAAATCAACCTAAAAAGAAGAAAAATTCATTTAGGGCTTACGGTTTTGGAGTGTCCAGTCCATGGCTGTGTGACCCCACTGCTCTGGGCCTGGTGCAGCTCATGATGGCACGACACACAGCAGAGAAGGACCATAAGCCTTATGCTTGAATGTGAAACCAAGGAAGAGGACTGGGTCCCACAATCCCCTTTAAAGGCATTGATCTGTGACCTAAATTCTTGCTAGATTTTCTCTCTTCAAGCTTCTCTCACCTCCCAGGGGCTCCATGAGGTAAGAACCAAACCTTTAGTACTTGAGTCCTTGGGAGGCATTTCAGGTCCAAACTGTTAGCTATGTTTTAATTCCATTTAATATTTCAAGCTATTTTATGAAATATTTACTAACACATGAATTGCTAAGTGATACTAAATCCTAAATTTGCATTAAAATCATTATTGGTGTACTAAATTATTAAGAAATAGCTTAATAATCAAGAAAAATTTAATAGGACAGCATAATAAATTCTAGAGGAAAAGATAATGTAGATTAAAGTTTGAAGAGACAATGAGAAGCTTTTATTATAAATCATTAAATGCCGTTCTAGTTCATGTAGAAATCTTCATCTAGCTAATTTCTAATGTGGAAAAATGTGATGAGCCTGCCACCTTGTGTTCAAATTTTAAAAATACTTTTTAAAGCCTCCAGTACACGCAGAGTAGCAAGGGGATTTTAGTTTGCTGATTACTGAGGGAACTTCACCTCACTTCACTAATTGCTAGATTCCTTACAATAAATGATATTCATTACAATAAGTACAAGTAATATGTAAGCACTTCTCTCTTGTTATCTCATCTAGCACGGTTGCATGTATGAAGCAAGCTATTAGCTAATGTCTGTCTGGGAAGGAATGTAGCCCTCATTCTATTACTGGGAAATAGCAACATGGAGAAAGGAGAATGTGATGGAGAGCTTTGTGTGAGTGGGTGGCAGGGACAGAAGGGAGAACAGAAAAGAGTGAAAGGCCCCAAAAGTGGGGCCTCGTACTGGTCATGAGGCTTTGAACCTTTGCAAAATACTTTGATCTTCATCATCATAATTGAAGGACGTATATTGGATTTTGTCTGAAGCCACTGATACTGAGGTTGCTGATGCTGTGTAACACTGCCTAGGGTTTTAATGCTTTCATAGTTCATGAAACACTTTCTGTGATTCACAGACGTGTCCAGGTGTGGGTCACTTTCAGGGAAGACATTGTTAAGGCACCGTGGGAAGGTCTCTACAGTACTGGGCCTTAGAAAAGTCATTACTAAGTGCTGGGATTCATTTCACATAAAAGGTTAATTTAAAAGACTTTCTGTGTGTGTTGACTAGTTTTATGCCAACTTAACAAAAACTAGAGTCATCAGAGAGGAAGAAGCTTGCTGAGAGATGGTGATGCACACATCTTTAATCCGAGCACTTGAGAGGCAGAAGCAGGCAGATCTGAGTTCAGGACCATCCTGGTCTACAGAGCAGGTTCCAGGACTGCCAGGACTACAGAGAGAGCTTGTCTCAAAAAACTAGAGAAAGGGGGTTGGGAAAGTGGGGAAGGGAGAGGAGGAGGAAGAGGTAGCCTCATTTGAGAAAATGCCTCTAGAAGATTAGGCTATAGGCAAGCCTGTAGGGCATTTTCTTAATTAGTGATTGATGGGGAAGGTCCCTGCCCAGTTTGGGCAGAGGCACCCATGGACTGGTGGTCCTGGGTTCTATAAGAAAGCAGGCTGAGCAAGCCATGGGGAGAAAGCCAGGAAGCAGCACTCCTGTATGGTCTCTGTATCAGTTCTTGCCTCTGGGTTTCATAACAACAATAATAACCCTAACTAAGACAGCAATTGCTACCAGGATAGCTCTTGTCTCCAGGTTTCATCACAGGAATAGCCCTAACTAAGACACCATATATTGTAATTTACCTTCAAATGTCTGGTTGCTTTATTAAAATCATATAATCTTCAGTTAAATATTATGTTGTTTCAATTCTTTCAATCAAGAAGATTTCAAGATGGTTTTCAAATAAATGTATCTTTTATGTTTTAGAATGTACTACTCTTCATACTATGATAAAAGGGCTACAACAGACTATTCAATATCAACACAATTTGAAAGGTAAGTTGGGGGAAATCATTCTTAAAATCATGGTTTAGGGGGAACAGATAGTTCATTCAATAAATTGCATACATGAGTACAATCCATAGAAGCCATGTTTAAAGGAAGGAAGAGGCGAGGGGTGGAAGGAGGGAGGGGGGAGGGAGGACAGGAAGGGCATGAAAGAAAGCCAGGTGTGGTGGTACCCACATATAAACCCAGCACTGGTGGATCCCTATGACTCATCCAGGGGCCACCTAGCCTGACCTATTTGGCAAACTCCAGGTCACTAGAGAACCTACCTCAAAACACAAGGTGTATTGGTATTTCTGATAGAATATAATGTAGCTGTCATCACAAATTGGTGATTACTCAGAAAAAAATGAAACTTAGAACTGCCATTTGATTCAGAAATTCCACTCCAATATATTTACAAAAAGAATAAAAATCCGAGACAGATAGCTTTGTACACTAGTATTAATAGCAGCATTAACCCCAAAGACCAAAAGGTGGAGTAGCCAGCCTCCTGTAGATTGGATATAAAATGTGCCCCCAAAGGTTCGTGTATTAGAAACTTAGTCCGTAGGAGAAAGAACACTGGCAGAGGACCTTTGCCTCTTTGGTTCTCTGTCACAAACCAGCCACATGCAGTGACCTGCCCTGCACTTTCACTGTGTGCTACCACAGGCTTAAGCAATGGGTACAATCATGAAGTGAAACTCACAGAACTGTAAACCAAAATAAGCCTTTTCCTCTTTGTGTCTATCAAAATAACAAAGCTGAGTAAACTCCGATGTTCATCAACAGATGGGTAAAGAAATGAGGCATATGCATATGAAGAAATGTTATGCATCCTTAAAAAGAAATGATGCCTTTTACAACATGAATGAACTTGAAAGCATTATGCTAAGTGAAATATGCCAGACAATAGAGACTATGTGATTCCACTTATACCCAGTACCTAGAGTAGTAAATTTAGAGGTGGAAAATAACAAGTTGCCAGGGGCTAGGGTCAGAATAGGAGAGATTAGTGTTTGATAGACACCACATATACATTAAGAGAAGATAAGTTTCTGGAGATGGAAGTCAAGATGGTTTGACACGTTATACTTAATGTCTCTGAACTGTATTCCTAGAATAGCTGAAATGGTAAGTGTTGTACGTACTTCATCACATTAAATAGTGCCTAGACTTAAAACATAAAAACTGAATCATAAAGAAAGCCCGTTACTATTAAAAAGATTGAAGTCTTCTGAAACATTACTTTTTAAATTCAAGAATACATTCCATTAATAAAATGTACTTCAACTTGAAAATTTGCTGTATCCCTGTGACTTTAAAATTCCATACAATGGAGGGGAAACAGAAAATTTATCTGTATTCTTTCCTTTGTTAAAGGAAATGTTTTGTTTTGGTTGAGAATATTTTCCTATTTTTGTTATATTTTTCGTTTCGGGAAAACAAGTAGTGTGTGTGTGTGTGTGTATGTGTGGTGTTGTAGTGTATGTGCACATGCTCATACATGCATGTGTGCACTCATGCTGTTGGATTTTGTTTTGATGACCCAGTGAGCTACAGAAGAGTTGTTTACAAGACCATGGGAGAGGGGTTCTCTACAGGAACACAGGCACCTTACCAGTGGTTATACCACTGAGTAAAATGTCACCCCCTCCCTCCTACAGCAACTATTAATTGCCTATAAATGTTGAGGAAGAGTTGAAGCCTCTTGAGCCCACTTCTACCCCTGGACAGGATTATGATGGGCCCGACCTTGTTTGGGTAATCACAGCAGCTGTGAACTGCAGAGTGCAATAGTCATGCTATAGCAGCGTGCATCACAAGCCATTTCACTGCTTCACTGTTCAAATTCTTTGATGATTCTCTGTAATATCTTAAAAATCCCAAGTCATTCTTACAACTATGTCCTCCTAGATAATGTAGTTTGAAATTGTATAGCACCTCCTTCTCACTCTTTATACTTCACCAGGTTTCCTATTCTGAAATCATAGCTTTTCTTTCTTTACTTTTTAAATATTTTGTTGTATTTATTTATTTGTGTGGGAGGTGGTGCACATGTCAGATGGTTCTCATGTGGAAGTAAGAGGACAACTTGCAGAAGTCAGTTCTCTCCATCCACCCTGGGAATCCCAAGATTGAACTCAAGTCATTAGGTGTGGTGATATTTTGTTTATGCTATAACAAATAAAGCTTGCCTGAAGATCAGAGTGCAGAGCTAAGCCACTAGTTAGCCACAGAAGTCAGGCTGTGATGACACACACCTTTTATCCCAGCACTCTGGAGACAGACAAACAGATCTCTGTGAGTTCAAGGCCACTCTGGGCTGCATAAGATTGACCCGGTCTAAAAGAGAAGCAGAGCTCACACAAAGGATCCCACATACCTTTAATCCCAGCAGTAGGGAGTTGGAGACAGGAGTGATATGGCTGGGCAGAGAGAGGAATACAAGGCAGGAGGAGAGCAGTCTGAGATGCAGTCTGAGGACAGGACGGCCCCTTTGGTCTGAGCATTAATAGAGATAAAAACTCTGGTGGCTGCCACTCTGCTTCTCTGATCTTTCAGCTTTCACCTCCTGATAGCTGACTCCAGGTTTTTATTATTAAGAACAATTAGAATTTGTGCTATAATTAGAGGTAGGAGCCTTTACCAAGTGAACCATCATGGCATCTCATACTTTTACTTATTTTTCTTGGCTTTCTTCGTTTTATTTTAGAAACACTCTTATTTACATATCCATCTCCCCATTCCCTCACCCTTCCATCCTCCCAGGCTTCCCACCGACCCCCCAACCCATTCCCATCTGCTTCCCAGGGATAGTGAGGCCCTCCAAAGAGGATCATCAAAGTCCATCACATCATTTGGGGGAGGGCCTAGGCCCTTCTTTCCATATCTGGGCTGCAGTAGTATCCCTCCATAGGGAAAGGGCTCCCAAAGTCCACTTGTGACCTAGAAATAAACCCTGGCTCCACTGTTAGAGGTTTCATAGACTGCCTTGGCTTCCTAGCTGGCACCCACATTCAGAGGGCTTGGTTCTGTCCAATGCTGGTTCCTCTGCTTTACGACTAGGGTCTGTGTGCTCTCATTAGGTCAGGTCAACTGTTTCTGCGGGTTTCTCCAGCACTGTCTTGGTTCATTTGCTCATCTCTCCTCCCTCTCCACAACTGGATTCCAGGAGTCTGGCTCAATCTTTAGCTGTGGGTGCCTGTTTCTGTTTGGATCAGCTACTGGGTCAAGGTGATGGGAATGGTAACCACAGTAGTCATCAATCTCATTATAGGGGAAGGGAATCAAAGGCAGCCTCTCCACCATTGCTTAGATTCTTAGTTGGGGTTATTCCTGTGGGTCCCCTACCATTTCCTCTGTGACAGACCTCTCTCCAAACCTGATTTTGTTGAATATGTTTTCTGTACCTTTGAGCTGTATTTCTTCACCTTCTTCTTTACCTATTATTCTTAGGTTTGGCCTTTTCATGGTGTCCCAGATTTCCTGGATATTTTGTGTTAGGGATTTGTTGGACTTGAGATTTTCTTTGGTCGATGACTGTATATCCTCTAGGGAGTCTTCAACACCTGAGATTATCTCTTCCATCTCTTGTATTCTATTGGTTATACTTGCATCTGTAGTTCCTGATCGTTTACCCAGCTTTTCCATTTCCAGCATCCCCTCATTCTGTGTTTTCTTTATTGTTTCTATTTCAGCTTTCAATCTTTCAACTGTTTGAGTTGTTTCCTTCATTTGTTTGTTTGTTTGTTTGTCTTGGCTCTTTTTAGATTATTTATTTCTTGAATTTTTTGGTTTGTCTTTTCCTCCATTTCATGTATTTTTTGTTTTTTCTTCCATTTCTTTCTTTAAGGGATTTCCTCGTTTCCTCTTTGAGGGTCTCTATCTTAAAATAATTTTTAAGGTCCATCTCTTCTGCTTCATCTGTGTAGGGCTTTTCAGGTCTTACTGGTGTGGAGCCTCTAGATTCTGGTGGTGTCATATTGGTCTTTCTGTTGTTGAGTGTATTCTTATACTGTCATCTTCCCATCCCATCCTCAAATGGGTACAGGTGGGGTCTTTCATTTTCCTCTAGTTTCCTGGTGGCTTATGTGGGCCAAGACTTCAGTGTCTGCAACTCTGAATGGTCTGTCTTCTCCGGGTGTTCTCTACACTCAAGCAGAGCCCGGTGGGCAGATGGGGAGCCAAGAGTGGGGTGTGTCAAGACTCACATCCTTCCTGTCTGTGCAGGTCCACTCGATGTGAGAAGCAGGCTCATGAAGATCCAAGGAGGGGGTAATGGGCAGGAGTTGGAGCCTGAGCAGAGCCCACACTCACCCCAAGAAGAGTGCATTGGGCAAAGGGGGCTTTCTTGGGTTTCTTGACACATCTCATTTTGTAGCCTAAACTGGCATGGAGCTTATTATTTAACCCAAACTGGTCCAGATTTTGCAGTCATCCTTCTACCTTCATCTCCCAAGAGCTAGAATTACAATAGCAAGCCATCACACTGGCCTCTGAAATTGTTTCTCTCAAGCTAGTCCTCTGCTGCACACTTCCCTGTGTCTGGAACGCCCTTCCTGAATGCAGAACAAGCCTTACTTCTTAAATCTCAGCTCAGGGTGGCTGCTTCTTCCCCAAACCCTTACCCAGTGTCAAGATCACCTAGGTCTACCCCACCACATGTTCTCAGAGTATCTCAAACACAGGTTTATCTGATATAGCTACTGCATCTTCCATACCACTAGACTGTAAACTCAGTGAAAAGCAGTAACTTATTGTGTTCCTGCATTCCCAGTATCTAGCAGTGCTGGGCGCATACTTACTGAGCACATGCATGAACAGAAATGTAAATGTTAACATAAAATCCCACATTAATTTTCAGTACTGTTTATTAATGTGTTTCTTGATTATTTGTGCATAGATGAAAATGAACAACTAAAAAGAAATGTTGATTTTATGAAAGAGAAGTTAAAATCACATGAGCAGGTAAGTTTATATTCTATTATATTCAACTAGACACTTGAAATCACTTGTTCATTCAAATATGAAAGCTGTTTAATTAGCATCACCAAAATGTGTGTAAGTGTAATACATATATGTTATATATGTAAAAATCTTTAATAAATGAATGGTAACTTTTGTAACTCAGCCATTTTACAAAACTTAATATCCTAATATCACTTATGCACTGTTTCTTTCTACCAAAAAAAGATGGAATTATTTTAATACATGGTTTTCAATTGTGATAATAGACTAAAATATATTCTGTTGGTTAATATTTTTAATTCTTTTACTATAAAAGAAATAAGTCTGTGTTCTTTGTGATTTGGGTAATCACCACGCCATCTAAATAATGGGGAGACATTGTGTTCCTCCCAGTGGTTATTGTACTCTGCTACATTCATTTCCATCCCTCAGGAACAGGGTAGTGATAGCAATTGCAGAGCATATAACACAGTGCCTCAAAATACGATTTCCTACCCCCTACCCTTTGAGAGGTTCGTTGGACAACCTCAAGTTGAACCTGCACAGTCTTAGCTTGAAGGATCTTCTTGTAATTTGATGAGTTTCTGTGTGACAAGCTCTTCAGAAAATGCTGCTTGTTCCAGAACCCAACCTGGGACTTCTATCTGAGTAATACTTTCCACTAAGAGAAAAGCACTCTGCCTGTGTTTTTGGAGGGCTTAGACTTTCAGTTAAGGATCTCCGGGATACTTTTCTCCCCACCCTTTCTCTGCTTTTCTTTTCCATTGACTCTTCCTTAAGTCTTTCCTCTCCTTTCCAGATCTTCGCTGCAGAGCTCCACAGTAAATGAGTCAGTTTGCACTCAAGATACAGAAACAGAAAATTTTACATTTTTCCTTCTAAAACTTCAAGCTTAACCATGCCTCCTCACATATATATAACAACAGTTTCAATTGAATGCAAAGTATAAAGCACCACAATCCATTTTTAATTTCTTAAACAGCTTTTGTCCAAAGTATACTTCTTAAATGGCCTCAATACAATGAGAATTTACTAATACAGACCCTTCTGCTAAACCTAAAACTCTTGGAGAACCACTTCTTAGGAGCAAACATGGAAGATGCTTAATAGAATCCTTGCTAGATGATTCTATATATTGCACATAGAAAATTCATAAGTTTCATAAATTAAGAACACAGCCAGAAGCTATCCCTTAAAATTCAATGTTCCCAGAAACTAAAGAAGAAGGCAGCCAGCTATTATTTCCTAGGGATTGATGCCATTAAAGGAAAGAAGGAATTATTCCTTAATACTGACGACACAGACTAAAGTGATAAGGAAGATCTCCCCCTTCCCCACAGAGTTAGAGCCTACCTCAGCCCACATGTATGAGCTCGTATGCCCAAAAGTTGGAGTGAAATTCTGAATTTTATCAAATTGATGCACACCTTCCACTCAATAGTGGCATCTGCAGGTAACACAGTCAAACAGAAAGGTACATAGACTTTTCTCAATGCTTCCTAGAGCAACAGTAACTTACTCACCTCATGTAGTTTATAGAGAACATTCTGTTGTCTCTTCTAGTTGCCCATCTAGAAACCTAGATACACACAAATGGATATTATGGCCAGCTTGAGGTTCTCCCTGCATTGACTCTGCACAGCTTTAATCACATCTAAAGTCTTCTAGGTTTGGCCAGTCCTGAAACTTACCTGGCAGGATAGATAGCACAAATGGCAGTCCAGACTGTGTCCCTTTAAACGAGTTGTCTTGGTTATTTTTCTATAGCTGTGACAAAAGACACTAACAAAAGTAACTTAATGAGGAAAGGATTTATTCTGACTCACAGATCAAAAATGCACGATATCATGGTAGAAAAGTCAGGGGCAGGAGCTAGAAGCAGCTGGTCATATCACCCACAGCCAAGACACAGAAAGGGGTGAAAAGGGGTTTGTTTCATTATTCCACTTTTTGTAGACCAGAATATACACACACATAATTAAACCAAGTCTTCCCATATCAGTTAACGTAGCCAGTATACTCCCTAACAGGCATACCCTGGTAATTCTATGTTCTGTCAAGTTGACAACACTAACCATCATCTGTCACACTAATTGTATTTAGTTATAGACACACACGCCCGTACATTTGTTTTACCTCCTCAATACTATTGGATATCTAGGAATAGCTATAACGTTTTGTCAAAAAAAATGCTTACAAACACATACACACACTCACACACACACACATACCACACATGTGCACACGTGCAGATTTGCACAAAATCTCAGCTGTAATTTCAAGTTATACTGCAGAACCTTAGTAATAAAAAACCAACATGGTATTAGCACAAAGCAAACATGTGGCTTAATAGACTAGAATAAAGACCCAAATGTAGACCCAGAAACACAGCCGCACAACTGCAGCCAAAATAGATACTGGAGAAATGACAACTTCTTCAACAAATGGCACCTAGGAAACTGGATGTCCAGGAACAGAAGAATGAAACTAAGTACTTTTCTCAACTTGCACAAGAATCAACTCCAAATGGAGCAAAAACTTAGTATGAAACATGAAATCCTAAAGCTGTTAGAGGAAAAACTTGGGCAAACACTTCAAAGCAGAGCATAGGTAAGAACTTTTGCAATGGCTACTCCAGGAAATAATGCCAACAGCAGATAAATGGGACCTCTTTGGGTTAGTCTTCTGTACAGCCAACAGTTGAGTAAAGAAAGACCCTACAAAATGGCAGAAAACCTTTGCTACCTGTGCATCAGACAGGATTAATACCTAGAAAACACAAAGAACTGTAAACCAGCCCCAGTAAACTCTTTCTTCTGTCAATTGCCTTAGTTATGGTGTCACTTCACAGCATTAGAAAATGTAACTAAGGACATGGACAAGAAGAAACCACTATATATTGCTAGTGGAAATATAAAATAGTCCAGCCACCATGGAAGTCAGTGTGCAGGTTTCTGAAGAAATTAAAACTACATCTACACTATGACCCTACTACACCATTCCTGGCTATTTACCAGAAGGGTTCTAGATCAACATAACAGAGAATTGCTTGTACATCAGTATTTATTGCAGCACTGTTCACAATACTAAGTTATAGAGCTAAATATACAACAGTAAAGTAATGGATAAAAAATGTATCATTAATGGGACCTCATGAAACTGAAAAGCTTCTCTAAGACAAAGGGCAACATCAAAAGGACAAAATGGCAGCCTACAGAATGGGAAAAGATATTCACCAATCTCACATCTGACAGAGAGGACTGATCTCCAAAATATATAAACAACTCAAGAAACAAGACATCAACAAACCAAATAATCAAATTTTAAAATGAGGCACAGGGGGAGACTCTAACAACAGCTCTGCCCAAAGCCAGGCAGAAGGGCACTATTGTGGTGAGCAAATGTATGGTATGGAGAGACACAGAGAGAGAGAGAGAGAGAGAGAGAGAGAGAGAGAGAGAGAGAGAGAGAGAGAGAGAGAGAGAATGAGAGAGAGAGAATGAGAGAGAATGGTTCATGCCCTGTTGTAGACAAAGGCATATTTGAAGAGGTGAAAGAGATGAGGAGTGAGCTGAGGTGGGTGGCTTAATTATCACCCAGGACCATGGTGATGTCTGGGCCTGGGCCTTTGGGACCCATGTCTGGGTTCATGGCTCTGATGCATCTCTATTGATGTCCATGGCTCTTGAGAGGACTGTATAGAGTTGGCCCAGACCTTCACTGGCTGCAACACTAGGAAGAACTGGTCCTGCCCCTCTATAGCTGAAGCACTCAGGAGAGAGGGTCCTATACCTCATCTGCGCAGCACTATAGAAAAAAGTCAATAAATGATTTCCAATGATATTCTGCTATACTCCTAGATTGGTGTCTAGCCCAACTGTCATCAGAGAGGGACTTCACCCAGCAAATGATAGAAACAGATGCATAGACCCACAGCCAAACATTAGTCAGAGCTCGGGGAATCCTGTAAAAGCAGGGGAAGATAGATTATGGAAGCTTGAGGGGTCAAGGACACCACAGGAAAACACAGAGTTAACAGACCTGGGTTCGTGGGGCTCACAGAGACTGAACCGCCAACCGGAGAACTTGCATGGGACTGACCTGGACTCTCTGCACACGGTTGCCGCTGTGTGGATTGGTCTTCCTGTAGGACTCCAAGTAGAGGGATCCAGGGGCTGTCTCTGACTCTGTTACCTCCTCTTGGGACTCTTTCCTCCTGCTGGGTTGCCCTGTTCAGCCTTAATAGGAGGGGAGGTGCCTAGTCTCACTGCAACTTACTATACCCTGGCTGCTTGGTATACATGGAAACCTGCACTTTACTGAAGGGAAGGGAGAGGGAGTAGATTGTGGGAAGAGGTGGGAAGGGGACTGGAGGAGAGGAGGGAGGGAGGGGAAACTGTGATCGGGCTGGGAAAAGTAATTAATTGATTAAGTAATTAGAAAGTAAGAAACAAAAGAAAATGAATCTGTGTACAATGGAATTTTTTCAGCCATAAAGAAAAATGTAATTAGTTTGTTTGTAGGGAAATAGATGCAACTGGAGATAATCATATTATACAAATTAAGCCAAACTTATAAAGACAAATATCACTATGTTTTCTTTTATTTGTGGTTCCTAGATTTTATATAGATACATAAAATCATGCACACATATTTGGCGTGCAGGTAGAAGCAAACAGTTAAGGGAACAAAGGAGAAATGAGCAAGATGAAGCTAAGGGACAGGAGGAATATGCACACAGTATGTGTGTGTGAGAGAGAGACAGAGAGAGAGACAGAGAGAGAAGAGAGAGAGAGAGACAGAGAGACAGAGAGACAGAGAGAGACAGAGAGACAGAGACAGAGACAGAGAGGAGACACATGTGGAGGAAAAGGAGTCTCAAGGAAGTGGGGAGGAGGAACAAGAAAAGGTAATGGGCAGTGCATCAATTACATCTTGTTGAGATAGCTAAATACCTGACAAGAACCAGTTAAAAGGAGGGAGGTTTTCTTTAGGCTTACAGTTTAAAGGGCTGTATCTGATCACAGCAGACAAAGAGCAGCTGAAGAAGCCAGGCAGCTGGCCACATTACAGCCACTATCAGGAAGCAGATTTTGAGCAGAAAGTAGAGGCAGGCTGTCAATCTCAAGGCTTATCTCCATGCTTAGCCTGTACAGGTTGTGTAAATGCCTCCTAAAGGTTTCACAATCTCTGAAAACAGTGTCACCATCTGGTGAGCCTGTGAAGATAGTCCACATTCAAACTACAACAGAGAGGAAAGCAAAAATATATATATATGGCAAATTCTCTGAAAGAATCGAGATGTCTCTTTAGCAGAAGAGGGACTGTTTTGAAAGAGGGAAAGGAACAATTTAGGGAGGGGACAGGAAATAGGTGCATATATTAGCAACGTACAGTGACATGTATGTGTGAATAATAAAACTTGCTATTTTGTGCGTGCCTACTAATAAGTTAATTGAAAATAAATAAAAAGCATGGATATGGTTGCATGTAAAAATTAATATAAACTGGGAAATTAACCTTTTTAATTATCAAAAAGTATAACTATTACATTGAAGTGAATATATTTTAATTTCTAGGAATATAAAAATAATGTTGCAAAACTTATAAGTGAAATGAAAATCAAAGAGGAGGGACATAAAATCGAAATGAGCAAACTTTATCAGGATCTGCAGAAAAAAGGTAACTTTAAATTTTAATTTATTGAGTTCTGACATATCGTGAAGCAATTTAAAGGTGCATATTATTTTCCCAATAATAGTATTCTTGAATGAGCACTGCCTTGATGCATTTTAAGTTTTGTATATTTATGCATCATAAATATACTAGTTATATGTATCATTCATGTTTGTGATCAACTTTGCCTATTGTGAACCAGCATCTTTATATAATTAATATATAGTTATATTACATATGATTATATAATTAATATAAAAGGTTTTAATAAGTTTTCAATTGTCTCTTACTATATTGAATATAATTTCACTAATTTTCTTTAGTAAAACTGGTCTCGTTGCATGTATGATATATGCAGATATGTAATGAATTGGCTTATTTTGAAAGCCATACTTAATGACCCTGTCTTTATGAACATCATATATAAAAATTAACTTGAAGACAGGCCTGTACACCTATAACCCCAGCACTTGAAGCTGAGGTAGAAGACTTAAACTATTGCAAGCTCTCTGTACTATATAGCAATCCACAATAAAATGGGCAAAATATTTGAAAAGGGGCTGGAGAGATGGCTCAGCAGTTAAGAGCACTGGCTGCTCTTCCAGAGGACCCAGGTTCAGTTCCCATCACCCACATGGTTGCTCACAACTGTCTGTAACTCCAGTTCCAGGGGCTCTGACACCTTCACATCAATGCACATAAAAAAACAAAATAAAATTTTTTAAAGATGCAAAAAAAGGCTTTTGAACCAACTTTACCCCAAAAGTGCACAGGAGGAAAATAAGCATCTGAGAAGGTGTTTGTAAGCTTGCAACATCCTCACTTGCATTCATGCCTCCAAAGCCAATACCACGTGGATGACACCATCAACGTCATCTGCTGACTTAGGATAGATTCCCACCCATTCAGTCACATTTGCAGCAGCTTCTTTTAATAAGATTTTTATGTGTATGTTTTGCCTACATATAGGTCTGTGCAGTAGATATGTGCATCCCCAATACAAGACGATGTCAGATCCTCTGGAACTGGAATTACAGATGTTTGTCAGCTATTTATATGGTACTAGGAAGTGAACCCAGGTCCTATGCCAGAACAACAAATACTCTTAACTGGTGAATCATCTTTCCAGCCCCTGTAGCTTTTTTTTTAATTTGATTTCTCTCTAGGAGCAGAAACACTAACCCACACCTGTTCAAAATACATTAAAAAAACTACATGCACAATTTCTAAAATATGGTTTATTAATAAAATTCACTTCCTTAAAATCATTTACTTAATAAATGTAAGCATGTTTTACTTTCAGAGGGTTAGTGCATTGTCTTCATAGCGGAGAGCATGGCACAGACAGGCAGGTTCTGGAGCAGTAGCTGAGAGTTATCCTTTGGCAGAGAAAGAGATACTGGGCTTGACATGGGCTTTTGAAACCTCTAAGTGACACACTTCTCCAAACCCCCTAATCATTTCAAATAGTTCCCCACCCTGGTGACTAAGCATTCAAATATATGAATGAGCCTATGGGGCTGTTCTTACTCAAACCACCACACCTCAAGTGAATGTTCCTTGCACAGTCTAGGGTACTACCTGTAAACAGATAATAAGCTATGAAGCTAAGTTTCCCATTAAACCCACAATTCAAAATGGTCACTGGGTAGTGAGTGGGCCTACCGTGTACTGCTTGTTTCTTTCTCCTGAAATGGAGCCAGTATTTCTCTTAACAGTTCTCATTTGTTATAACATCTATACCTAGCAAATGGCTTTTTATGTGAGGCTCTGCCTTAAAAGGAACATTGTGAGACAGGCACCTCCCATCTTATACTCATTCCCCCAGATTCGGTTAGCAATTCTCTTACCTTTTGGATGTGAAATCCCCCCCCCAGGCTAATGTGTGCACATTCATCCCCAAGTGGTGCTGTTTAGGGAGATTTAGGAGGTTGAGCTGACCTGGGGGAAGTGTGTCACTGGGTGGCAACCATTGTGCTTTATAGCCAGCCCTACTCATATCTGTCTGCTTCCTGATACACCGAGACCAAGCAGGCTCCGAGCACCACGGAGCTACACATGGCATGTCTTCTTCACATGGTGGCTTGGATCTACTCACTGTGAGCTAAAACAAACCTTTCTTCCCCTAAGTTGCTTCTTCTTGGGTATTTTTGTTTCAGTGATGGGAAAAGCAACCAGTATAGTTTCCTCCTAAGTTGTCAGCTCTTTGCCATGCTCTTCCTGAATCATTGCAATCTCACAGTTGTAATTAATATCTGTCTCCTAGCCCAAAGCAGAAATTCAGTGAAAACAGACAATACATGTATCCTGTATGAAGTGTTTAGTATAATGTCTGGAACAAAAGTGATCAATAAATATGCTGAATTAGGAGATGAAAAAATAAGTAAATGTAAGTACATAACTTTGAACTGCTAAATGATTTTTTTGTTTTACTTAGTTGAATTAAAAGAAGAAAAGCACAAAGAACAAATGGCAAAGAAGGAGATGGAAATATCAGAGTTAAATGCAAAATTAAGAACTCAAGAGAAGGAAAAACAAAATGAAATACTCAGACTACGTCTAGAAGTAGGTGTTTACATGTCTGCTAAACAGAAGCATGTTAGTCTAAACCATGCTTTGTTTCGTATTGCAAGGACATAGATTTCTGGACTAGATAGAAGCCTCTGAGAGGACCACACATCCTCACTCTCCAGCAAAAGCAACACTGTCTGTCAGCAGGCTGCTGCCATATGCTTCTCAGCCCTTGATGTAGAGAAGGGCCTAGCTTCCAGAAAGCATAGTGCCTCCTCTGAGATGAGGACAGTGCTCAGGACTTACTGATTTTACAGTCTAGTCTAAACTAGAGGCATACAACCACCATGCCAGCATTGGAGGAGTACAACAGATCCTGGTATTTCTCTCTCCCCAGAAGGAATCATAGAACCCTTCTGTTTTATATGGAATACTAACAGACAAATTTCTTTACATTTCTGTGAAAACATATTTTAGAGGCAAAATTCCTTTGAAACATTTGTGAATGTACTTTAAATAGGTGTATCTCATAAATTTTGTAGTTCCTTTTTTCTTTTTTTTCATTTATTTTTCAGTTTAAATTTAGATAAGAAACAACGTTGCTTCACAAGTCAGTTCCAGGTCCCTCTCCCTTTCCCTCCCCTCCTCCCGTGCCCTCTCCCTAACCGCCCCCCATTCTCCCCTCATTTCCCCAGGGAGGGTGAGGCCCTCCATGGGGGTGTCCATAGTCTGTCATTTCATATAGGGCAGGGCCTAGACCCTTCCCCAAGAGTTCAGGGTGAGAGTGCACCTCACATTGTTGGATGGGAGTCCAAAGTCCGTCCGTGTGTATACTCGGGATGGGTACTGATCTGCTGCCCAAGGCTCAATAGATTCCCTAGGCCTCCTCACTGACACCCACATTCAGGGGTCTTGATCAGTCCCATGCTGGATTCCCAGGCTGATGCCTGGGATTCAAGAGTTAACCTTTGTCAGGTCAGCTGTTTCTGGGGGTTAAACCTGCCCAGTCTTAATCCCTTTGGTCATCAGTCCTCCCTCTCTGTTACTGGCTTTCTTGAGTTCAGCTCAGTACTTAGCCTTGGGAGTCTGCCTCTTCTTCGATCAGCCACTGAATGAAGTTTCTGTTTCCCAGACTCTCTGGCCATGGGATTGTAGGCTGGCACTCCCCAGATCTATGTCTAAAATCCATATATGAGAGAGTACATGCCATGTTTCTCTTTTTGTGACTGGGTTACCTCACTAAGGATGGTTTCTTCTAGTGTCATCCATTTGCCTGCGAATCTCATGATTCCATTGTTTTTTTCTGCTGAATAGTACTCCATTGTGTAAATGTACCACATTTTCTCTATCCACTTTTCGGTTGAGGGACATCTAGGTTGCTTCCAAGTTCTGGCTATTACAAATAATGCTGCTATGAACATAGTGGAACAGACATCTTTGTTGTATGAATTGGCATCTTTTGGATATATGCCTAAGAGTGGAGTTGCTGGGTCTTGTGGTAGGTTTATTCCCATTTTTCTGAGGAATCTCCATACTGATTTCCAAAGTGGCTGAACCAGTTGGTACTCCCACCAGCAATGGAGGAATGTCCCCCTTTCACCACATCCTCTCCAGCATAAATTGTCATTGGTGTTTTTGATTTTAGCCATTCTGACAGAAGTGAGATGGTATCTCAGAGTTGTTTTGATTTGCATTTCCCGGATGGCTAAGGATGTTGAGCACTTTCTCAAGTGCCTCTCAGCCATTTTAGACTCCTCTATTGAAAATTCTCTATTTAGTTCTGCAGCCCACTTTTTAATTGGGTCCTTTGATGTTTTAGAGACTTGCTTCTTGAGTTCTTTGTAAATTTTGGAGATCAACCCTCTGTCAGATGTGGGATTAGTGATAGTTCCTTTTTTCTAAACCTCTTTTTCCATTATTATGCCATGCTTTCCACACATCCCTATGTTGACTTCACATTATGCAAAAAGTCACAGATCTTAATTAAATAATTTACTATTTATTTTCCAGGAACTCTGCTGTGCCTAAGGTGTTTGATGGGGGTCTGTAGGTTACATTAGGGGACAGAAAGGGGGTCATGCTGCTTCAAAGGGATTTTACTATTGCTATTGTTTGTGCTGCCACTGTGCTGCTGTATCGTGGCTGATGGTGCCACCTCTGCCTCCCAGCCAAGCGTATCCAGAGAGGGCTGGTGGGCAACTCAAATATAGCAGGCTGTATATCAAGTTGTACCAACTTACCATCTGTCAGTTAGGGATCTGCATTTGATTTGCTATCTGGGTGGTGTCGCTAGTCCAGTCTGATTATACTGGTGACTAGTACTCAGATGTCCCTGTCTATCTTTATTATAACTCTACAGTTCTCTCCACAAACCAGAGTGCAATCTCATGGAAAGCTTACTCTAGTTTTTGGAGAGGCTGCACTAAGGTAAATCTAAAAGGAAGAATTAGAGTGGATTATGGTGATTTTAAAAAATGGCCTATAAGAATAGGCTGTAGTAATCTCTTAATTAGACTCAGTTTAATTCAAATTTTAAAAAAGCCTGAATTGACTAAATCATGTCTAATTTCTAGTATTTCACTTCAAAGTTTGAAAGATACATGGGTTTTCCTCCTAAGAATGTGGATTACACTGCTTTTCTTTTTTTAAGAAGCAACTTTCTATTTAATTATTCTACACAGGTGTTTGCTTTGTTAACCCTTCTGTCTGACAAGGAAACCTCAACAATCCTGGCTGTCCACAGCCCTGGCCTGCCTTGCTGGGTCTCCTGGAACCCAGTGGCACCAGTGAGAAAGCTTTGGAGTACAGAGGACAACAGCTCTCTTAAGTCTCCCACTAGTGTCCCATCTACCAGGTGACACTGCTGCAATAATCAGTATTGCACTGCTTGTCTTGACAAAAGTCCACCAATGGTAATGTGAAAACACTTTCCAGCTCAGTGGTCAAGAATATGCCTCACATAGAAGTGTGAGGAGAAATGCAGCAGTGTCTTGAGAAAAAGTACCATGCTACCTATAGAGGTAGCACCCGGACTTCTGGCCCTTTTTGAAAGCCCACAAAGCAATTTTAACATGCCATTTTACTGACTCTTGTTTGGATGTTCTTTGTTCTTTTTTTTCAAATTGTGTTCAATTACAAAGTATGTAGTGAAGGATTTTGTTGGTATACTTTTTCTGTAAAAACATTGTTTCTAAGTATTGAACTACAACAGCCTTAATATCTTTCTCCTTTTGAATTCGGTTCAGTTTGACACCAAACTAGCAAGAGTTCAGACTAAATCAAAGTCATATTCGGATGCTGCTATTTTGCCGCAGAGTATCTACAGAAGGGTATGTGCATTTTGTCGCATGACTATAACTCCAGTAAATTAATTGCCTAGTGTGTTCCTAGAAACTTTTCCTGATGGTTATTTTAAGTATGTTAAATGATTTTTGTAGCCTTATACCAGTTTTTCCCTTTCCATCACACAAAGGTGAAGCTACAGGCCTTTCAAAGTAATAGTTTTTAAACTGTAATCCTGAAGTGTGTTTTCATTGTTGCCTTGTCATTCCTTATACTTAATCATACACCTGCATTGCAGTGGCAACCTTTCTTCTGCTCTTTTTAGAAGCTTCAGCATCTTCAGGAGGAAAAGAGCAAGGAAATTGCAGGTCTCCAGAACACCATCCGAGACTTGGAGCAGCGCCTCGCAGCCGTCAAAGATTCCCGCCTCACACGGAGACGGTTTTAAGAAGAGCACTTCATGCATTAGTTACAACTTAATTTCCTTAAAGGCATCAAAAATTCACTTCTGTTTTCCGTGTGAGCATGCTAAATAATAAAGATGCACTCTGTTAAGCTTTTTAAAATTGCGTTTATTTAGATAAGTCTGTACTGTGGCCAATTCTCTACTGCATTCTTGCTTATTGGTATTTGCCATAAAAGAGTTCAGGTTCATAGGGCTGAGTTTCTCTATTGAACCATCATTGATTATGGAAATACTGTCTTAAGCAGTATGCAGATTAACAACATACTTTTCTTCCATTACGTCTGTCAAGACAGTCACTCACAATTCACAGCAATACAACACAAGATGAAGAAAACAAAATACACAGATGTATGTAGTGAATGTAAAGCTGGTAGTCGTCTTAGATATAAAAAGATAAGAAGGTATTTAAAATACAGTGTTAAAGATTTAATTGGTTAAAAAATTTAAGATTAGAAAGATAAAAGTTCCTACTGTTTCAAGAGTTTAAGTAAAGAAAAAAACTGGAAAATGTGTCTTTGTTGTTCTTTCCCCATTCTAAATTACGAGCTATCCAACAGAAACCCCTAGGTCATAGTTTATGTTTCTGTTCTCATCAATGTAAATAGAACACTGGAAAAAGAAAAAGAAAGACATATTAACCAAAAGCTGCAATCACTTTTTAGTTACCCCGTAATACAAATTTGGTTTGGGTCAAATTCTCTGTGGCATAAAATTTTAAATTTAGAAGCCAATGCGGTAGCTTTATCCATGTTTGCCCACATCCAATTTCTACTTTTAGTTCACTGATTAATTAAATGGATAACAAAATTTCTAGAAATGAAATTGTGTCTTTAGACTGACTTAGGGAGTATACATCTTATTTTAAATATTTAGTTTGAACGTCATTTTCACTTTTTGGTCTTATTATTTCAACTTCAGTTGGGGCTGGCTCCTGTGGGGTTTAGTGGCTGACTCTGTCAGGCAGCTGGAGGTGATCGACACTGACAAGATTCAATGACTTTCTCCTCCGCAAAAAGCCCCTGTCAGCTACATAAAGATGGGAGGTTTTCGGCGCACTGTCAAGTGATTGCAGACCCTGACTTCTCAAATATGAGATGGCGGCAGTGGCAGCAGCAGCTACTGGTAGTTGTCCCGGAGTCCTTAGACAACTTACACAGGAGCTGGTTTATGCATCCCTTTCGACAGAGCTTCCTTTGGGCAAGTGAAAGCTGCAGACCTTCACTTGCCTGCATGTCTCAGCTCTCTAAGTGGCCCTGCCTGTGCTTGCCCGTGTGCTTATGGTGGTGATGTAAGCCTGAAGGAGGGAGAGGTGCTTCCGCATCCCCTGCTCCGGGCTGCTGATTCTCTGAAAGCTCCCTGCTCCCAAGAAGCCCATGCCCGTGTTTGTGATGGTGCTTGTGGTGGTGGTGTGCCTCCGAGGGCTCCGCTGTTTTACCCACAGTAGCTGAGGACACATTCTTACAGAAGTCTTCATCTTCAAGACTCTGGAACAAATTTACAAATCACTTATTAACAAGCTCATCAATTTACCATGAATGCATGAAAAGATTACTTGTCGAGCCAATGTTTATGTTATTGCAACAAGGTCATTAAGATACGGTTGGCTAGTGCATTAATGGAAAAGAGCCTGACCTTGGCTTCAATGTCTACATTTTTTATTAAAGGTTTAAAGAAGCCAAACTACCATACCTCTCTCTGCAAAATCAAAACTAAGCAAACTGCCTGAAAACACTTAGATTGTAGTGAAGTCAATCAAATAGGGAATCCTACTATCAGTAGAGCTACCTGTAACTTTTCACGCCTGCCATCTAATCTTGTCCTGTTTTCTAAAGCAAAATGGCTTCTCTCTGACAATTCAAAATTGCCAGTTAAAAACTGGCAGCTTTTTATCCTGCAACATGTGTGAGAAAATGTTTTTAATTTCACCAAAGCTTTGGTAATGCTTACATAGTTCTGTCGGGTTAAAAATAGCATGGTGGCCTACTTTAATTGACAGCATTTTTTTCTCTTAGTAGAACAAATAATGTATCATATAATTGATGGCATTACAAAGACAGCAAAGCAGAAAAGTGCTGATTTGATCTCCACATCAGATGCTATAGTATGTTGTTAACAAATAGTTCATAGGTTTTAAGCTTATTATGGAAAATGTTTTTGCCTTTTTAGTTCAGTACATCTGGGTGTGTTTATAGCAGGCATTTACACAAATGCAAGGCCAGAAGTAACCCTAAAATATGAAAATGAAATTAACCCTAAAATATAAAAAATGAAATTTTAATAGCATTAACTTCATGTCAGCTCAATTTTAAGAGCTTTATTTGCAAACTAGTCTCATCTTTAAAATCTGAAACTAACTCACAGATTTTATGCATATTAAAATGTAAATGTCAACAAAGTTAATTGATTAAATGACTTGTTGAAAGTTGAGGAAGCTGTCTGTAGATCAGGGGAAAGAAAATGTAACTACCAAATAATTGCAAAACATTTTCAAACCTGAATTTAAGTTTTGGCAGTTTGCCCTGTTGGGGAAACATTGTTTAAAATGTGAAAGAAAAAATGTAGTCTATAAATATTAAACATTATAAAAATGATTAAATGTAGTACTTCTCATAACAAGAAATATTTTCGTGGTTATTAGGAGATATCAGTAATGAGTAGACTACATTTCTCTTTCAGTTAAATGAAATAATTCAGCTTACAGAATGGAAGGGGACGGCTTTTCAGCAAATCTGGTTGTCCTAAGTCCTTGACAAATTAAGTAGGTATCTAGTCTTTGCGCCCTGACAGGTGACATCATAGTTGAGGAGCTTGACTTTTGCAATGCTCTAAGCATGCCCAGGTTACCTCAGTCATAATATTTTATATGTTGGCTACATTCTTGGAGCCCTCATACTCATGAAATAACATTCACTAGTGACATAGTGATCTACATTGATTTTATTACTTTCAAATATGTAGTTATTTTTACTTTATGTGTATGAGTGTCTTGTCTGCATATGTTAAGTGCACTACATCTGTGCCTGGTACCCTCAGGGGCCAGAAGAGGGCATTGTATCTCCTGAAACTGGAGGTAAAATGCTCTAAGCTACCATGTTGGTGCTGGGGGTTGAACAGGGTACTCTGCAAAAGCAGCCAATGTTCTTAGCCACTAAGTAATCTCTCAACCTATGATTTGCTTGTTGTTTGTTTTTAGAGCCTTTACAGATAAAGGAGCAATATGAGTCTTGCAAATATGTTTCAAAGAGTGTTGCATAGCAAAAAGTGTATGTTTAAGATTTTCTTATATAATTGATGATGAACAACTTATTTAGATAGGTTTTGTTATGTTTTCTCCTTATTCCCCATTAAAACAACTAAGAAAAACACCTACCGTGAAAGAGCAGTTTCCACACTTCTCCTCACAGTAGGCGATCTTAATGGCTTCTTCAACATATGGGAAAGTGAGGAAGGAATAGGGCAAGCCAAGGTGATAGACAAGACGGCCACATCTAAAAGGCAAATACAATGTTACTGCTGTATTCTCTGTGCTGTCACCATGCTCAGGCTAGAGCACTTACATAGGATATGTAAGGCTTGGGTTTGTTATTAATTTGTAGTGTAGGAAACAAACCCAAGCCTTACAAATCCTATGTAAGTGCTCTGCCAGTGAGTTACATCCCCAACCCTTAATTTCCTGAAATGGATTCTCAGAATGTGATTCAAAGTAGCCTTGAACTCACTGGGACGTCTAAGCTAACCTGAAACTCATGATTCTCCTGTCTACTGAATGTCACAAGTACTGGCATTGTGGGTTATAACACGTGTTCACCGTGCTCATTAGCTCATTTATTCCAAGAAACATATCTAACATAAGAAAATTTTCAACTCAATAAAATAACTAGAATTACTATTTGATATTCTCCAAAATGGTAAGGTTGAAATGTTTATTTTTACTGACATTTTACCCAAAACACAGATCATTATATTTATACTTTACTACTGACTAGATGAGAAGTTTAGATGCCTGAAATAACTAAGTATAAAGCTAAAATTATATTTAATGTGAGACATAGTGAGGACCCAGTCCAGGCAGAGTCAGAAGAAAGCATCAACTCAGAAGTTTACGGAAGACAACATATGCATTGAAATTCTCTCAAAATATGAATATTTAATCTGATCACAGATTCCAAAATAAGTTAATTGCTGAAAACAATTTCTATATTCAGTTAAGAAATGCAACCTGGCATACAAACAGACTTCGTGTGTCCATAACACAAAGACGGATGCTCTCTCAGCCTGGACTTTTAGAGGAGTGCCTGGACCCTGCCCTGAGTGAAATGGCAGACTCTAGATATCCCCTATGTGGAAGGAAGTGGGGATAGGGTGGGAGGCTGGGGGGGGATGGCAGGGAGGTGTGGGAGGAGGGGAGGGAGAGGGAACTAGGATTGACATGTGAAGCAAGCTATTTAAAATTAAAGTAATAAAAAATGTACATATTTGGGAATCATTTAATATGTATTTGTAAAATTATACAGAACTGCATAAAATGAACGTGCTTGTGTGGTGTTGAGGCATATTATCTTGAGAAGTAAACATGAAGTATTGTTATCAAAAAAAGAAATGCAAGCATTTAGCTGTAATGAGATATCCACCCCCCAAACACCCCCCCACCACCCACCCCCACATAAAATTATAAATAAATTTAGGCATATACAAGTATCGTCTCCAACATATGATTATTAATCTGCACAGTATTTAGAATTATATATGTTATGCAAATGGATTCTTCCATTTATTTAACACAGAGGGAAATGTATAGTCAGTTTTCTGAAACTACCTATTGGAATGGTGAACTCACATTTAACTCAAAAAGCTCATTTCAAAAATATAAAAACCAAACCTTCAGCATCTTAATTTGAAACTGAGTGCTTTGTTTTATACAAAGACAAATGCCTTATTTTAAGACCTTTACTACTAAATACAAATTGGGAAATAAACATGTGAGAAAGTTGTTGCAAAAATCTAGAGGAGAAGTCACAAGAAAGTCACTTGAGGGGCTGATTATGGAGGCAATGTAGATAAATGCAAAACTTATAATTTGTTGAAGACTAGACTGGAGTGATCTAACTGCCTGGTACAGTTACAGTTTTCTGAAGGGCAGATGGCAGCAATTCCATCACACATGATCATGTGTGTGATGTTCTGCAACACAACATAGTAGATAATGGGTAGGGGGCTGAAAGGAGAGCATAGTATTATTGGACTGCATCCTCTAGGGCCAACCTCTGCCCCTCCAAGAAGACTCACACAAAGGTCAAAGTTGAGGGAATAGGTTTTAAAAGAATACAATTGATTCCACTTTGTATCATTAAATTTAAGATGTTTGTGACCGTAACTGGAAGAGATTTCTGGGCTTGGTGTTCAATTACTGTATTTGAACTTTGTACTTATTTCAGGTCACTAGGACATATGTGGTGTTGTGCTCAGAGAGTAGATGAGGTCACTTTGCAGAATGTTCAGCATGAAAAGAAGGAAAACCAAATCACCCTGAATAACAGGAACCTGTAAACAGGGCAAATGAAGGAAGAAGAATGAGAAGGAGGAGGAGTGGGGGAAGAAGAAAGCTGTGGAGAAAAACAGCAGGGCAGTGTCTGTCCGAGAATCAAAACCGAAAGTGTTTCCATGGCATCATGGGACTGAAACGGAACTGTGGCTCTCGGAGTGAAGAGCCCGACTGTGATCATGAAAGTCAGTGAGTACTGAGTAAGAGTCTGGGAGAGGGCTCACCTGTCATATATGAGGAAGTCGTCTTTGTTTCCATTTAGGAGAGTCCAGACATCTGTTTGGTGTTCTTCTTGCCGGTAAACAGCAATCTGGTCTGACACCTGATTTTTAAGATGTGTGTGTTTTAGTTGAGAAGGGGATCCTTGATGGTTAACAACGATGTAAGAGATGTTCAAGTATCCTTCGTTCTCTAGTTTTAGTCGCAGGTCTTCCAGTCTAAGGGGAAAACACATAAAATGAACTGTAACATTTAGTTTGCCTTCTACAGTCTTTCTATTTTCTGCGAAGCTCTTATTATTTCTAAATGACCATGATTTTTCTTTGTGATATAAGACTGAACTGAACCTTTCACCTTTATTTAAAACTTGAGCTTTTAAATTTTTAAATTTATCTGTGTAGCCCTGACTGTCCTGAAACTCACTCTGTAGACCAGGCTGGCCTCGAACTCACAGAGATCCGCCTGCCTCTGCCTCCTGAGTGCTGAGATAAAAGATGTGCCCACCACCACTGCCGGCTTGAAACTTTATGCTAAACACTTGCATGAACATGAGCTCCAAATTAGTATATACGTAAATTCACCTTGCAGATATGCAGAATGTTATGTAATTAATATTTGGTGGATGACTCAATCAATATTTTTGACTTATGATTGTTAAATGATGCAAGACCTTCTATTACAACCCTGTGTTTAGTGTTTGTACTGTTAACCTTTCTCTGCTTCTTTTTTAATAATTTGTTTAAATATTTATTTATTTAACATACGTCAGAGTTTTGCCTGCATGTATGTCTATAGGAGAGTGTCAGATTCCCTGAAACAGTTGTGAACTGCCACGTGGTTGCAGGGAATTGAACCTGAACCCTTTGGAAGAGCAGTCAGTGCTCATAACTGCTTGAGTCATCTTTCCAGCCCTTCCTATGCTTCTTATATTGAAATATTTGCTCTACTAATGTGGGTAACCCATATTGGGAAGTTACAAAATGTAGGAACACAAAAGCAGGGATGCCACAGTAAACATTTTGGTAGTATTGTATTTATCCCTGCGTGTGTGTGTGTGTGTGTGTGTGTGTGTGTGTGTGTGTTACATATTTTATGTCCTCCTGGTCTTTTCATCAAATTTGTGCTATACAAACATACTTGTCTCCAAAAACATTATTTAACAATTATATTATTTCTATTTTATTGCATTTTGTATGCATTTGTTTGCATTTAATCTTTTTTCCCTAAAGATATCCTAAACCTTAAAAGACTACTTACCTGGATGCCTGCAGAAGGCACAGGTATCAGCTGGCTTGAAGAAGAGCAACCACGGTCACTGTACCCTCAGAGTTTAGCATTGGATTTTGATCTCCTATGTTCCAGGCTGGAGGTTGCTTACAAACAGGGCTTTGGCCTTGGCTCTCTGTTCCTCCATAGGGGAGGAGACAGAGAGCCAGGGCAAGCCCTAGGCTTCTCCACATTGCTGAGGTTGTCCTATAAAACAAAAAGTGAACTTTATAGATAACTTTATAGCCATTGCTATGGATTTCTTTAAGCACAGTAGGTACACTCCTGCTTACTAAAACTTAGCCTATGGACTCTGCCTCCATTTTGTTAGGCTCAATGTGCCATTGCCATGAGCCTCCTTCCACTAAATCTCGCTGTAAAGGGGGAACGTGCCAGCTAAAAGGCAGAGAGGAATGATCAAACATGCTTATGGAAATGTACCTGACTGACAGCCAGGCATTCCTCTAGGACAAGACACATATTTAGAAACCCCTTCTGACTGTAGTGTACAGTCATATGTATACATTCTGCAAACACATTCTGACTTTCATCTGAGATGCACTAGGTTCTGACGGCTTTCTGTCCTCTGTTCATCTAGGAAATGTGAGGAGGAATTCTGCACAAAACTGTAAAGAACCAGCACAGAAAAAGATGAGCAGTAGAGACAGGGCACCCACGTAAATGTGCCTCGTGATGGCCCTTAGCTCTCCTTGCATGAAATCTTCCTGGAAAGTTCCAGGCAAAAGGCAGGCAGTAAACTATGGCTTCAAGTTCAAGCCTTCCACATTTGCAAACATCTTGGGTACATTCAATATTTGTGGCTTTTTAGTCCTCCATGTCTAGCTATTTGATACTATAGGATTTGAATTTCTTCAAATATGACTACCTGCTTTGATGTTATCACCATACTCATGATAGGAAAATCTTATCCGAGGAGAAACATTACAAGTCCTTGCTCTTGCCCCATTTCTGTTGTTACTACTGCCTTCATGAAGCTCCGGCAACTAGATAGGACATTCTTGGATGAAAAGATGTCCTCTCACCCAGGAAAGTTAAAATATTAAGTACCTGAACAGAAATAGCCCCCAAACTAGGGCCGCCTCTCTCAGAAATTTTTAAGGTAAATTTAGAGACATGATGAAAATGTGCAAAGCTCTAGACAGCTAACTCAGTCACGTTGACAAAAGAAATGGAAGAAATTAGGCATGGTGGCCCATGCCTACAGAAGGTGACGCCTACAACACTGAGGTGGAAGGATACCTCTGAGTTCAAGAGTCGTATGACTACAGGGTAAGTACCAGGCATGCCTGGAATACAGAGTGTGAATGTGTATTTCTCACAGTAGTTAATGCTCCCAGATAAAAATTTAGCTGGTTACAGCAGCACACCTGCAACCCAGAATTTGGGAAGCCAAGAAAGAAGAATCTCACATTAGAGGTCAGTCTCGGGTGTATAGTGAGACTGCTTCCTCCAAGAAAAATCTGACATAAGAGCCTCACTAAAGCAAGGAGGAGGAGCCAGGAGTAAAGTGGCGCACGCCTTTAATACCAGCATCCAGGAAGCAGAGGCAGACAGATCTCTGTGAGTTCCAGACCAGCCTGGTCTATGTAGTAAGTTCCAAGACAGCCTGGGCTACATGTGAAACCCTGCCTTGAAAAAACAAACAAACAAACAAAAAAAAGAAATAATTAAAGGAAGAAGAGCTAGGTGTGATGTGCACATCTTTAATGTCAGCTCTCAGGAGGTAGAAGCAAATGGATTTCTGTGTGTTCAAGGCCAGCTAAGTCTACATATAGCCAATTTCAGGTCAGCCAAGATCACACCATAAGGCCCAATCAAAAAAAAAAAACAAAAAAAAATCATCTTTAATTCTGATATTTAATTGAGGAAGTTCCTACAGGGTGGTATTTATAGTAATAATGGGATTATTCTTCTTCAGTTTTTTTCTTTTTCTGTTGTTTGTTTTTTGGTTTTGTTTTTTTTTTTTTCTTTTGAGACAGGGTTTCCTCTGTGTAGCTTTGTAAACCAGGCTGGTCTCGAACTCACATAGATTCACCTGCCTCTGCCTCCCGAATGCTGGGATTAAAGGCAAGTGCTGCCACCACCGCCACCACCTGGCATGGGATTATTATGACATCAGTCAGTTACTGGGTTTTTCTAGAACTATAAAACAAAAAATAAAATACTAAGCACATTTACATATGCCAGTTGTGCCTCAGGAGAATTATACTACTACCCTTTCTGTAGCTGAGGAAACTATGGCATAGAGAGACTGTAGGTGTCTTGTCTTTGATCACAGATGCGATAATCTACAAGAATAGATTCAAACTGGTTCTGCCCAATGCAAAATAGGATCTCTCAGCTCCTGTGGTACATTGATATTTTTTAAGCACATCACCTTGCAATGACTATAGCAGCCAGTTTTCTATATGCTCGGGGACAGGGAAATGTACGTCAAGACAAGCTGTTCAGTTTCTTAATAGGAAGTCTAGCTTGTACGTATTTCCAAAACTAAATTCCTGCCAGGCTCTGGGTCCAATCTCTATCATACACACTTCTCAAAAAAACTAAACTATCTCCCTCGCCTATATTTCTAGTGAAAAGAATGGTCTAGTGGCAAAGGAAAAACTAAAGACGACGCATTTCCACTTGCAGATTTCTTGTCGTTATAATCAGTAGACTGTTTGGTGTTGCTTAAAGTTGGCTTTTGTAGGATAAACTCTGCATTTTAATTTTAACTGTCAAGGAACTATGTAAAAAGAATGAGGGTAAATACAATTAAATACAGCAACAACTGGGTAGTAGTTATAATCTTCATTCTTGTTCCTGTACAGAACTGCATTTGATTATATTTCCACTAAAAGGAAAACATGCTTACTCTTTGTCACGCAGCCCCTCCCTCTGAACTTTAACCCCCATTTTAAAGCCCCTCACCCACCTAATGGCTTCCATTCTCTGCTTAACTCAGAAACTACCCACGGACCACCTGTGGCACAGCTGGACCTCCTCTAAAGGTGACCACTTCTGCACTGTGGATGGAGCCTGCTCCCTCCCTGTTCGTTAATCGGAAGCTGCTCACCATTTCCCGGGACATCTCTACAGTACAATAGGATGGGCATATTTCCATCTCTGCTCTTGAAATTCACGAGCTTTCCCCCCTGTTTGTCCTCACTCTACCCTTCAGTGGGAAACACGGGAATTTAATCAGATAATATTGCCCATAGAACAGTCCCCTGCAGAGAGAAATAGCATAACTGCATTCCACTTCCCCAGCTTCCCCCTGAGCACAGCACAGAAAAACAGAAAACAAAAAACCTAACTGCGATCCCTAGACAATTCACCTACCACACCCAAACTCTTGCTCATTTTTAAAGTATTTTTTCATGTCTTTTACCAATCTTTTTAGTAAGCCTATTGCAAAGGGAGGGGGAGTATTTTTATCAGCCTCAGAAAACATTTTCCAAACTCTAAAAGAATGAAGTCCTACTTACGCAACCCCTTCGGACTAGTCTGCTTCCTCTCTCTCTCAGCTCTGGCGGGGCAGCTCCGCAAAGCCAGACTGACACTGACATATATAGCCCTGTTGTTTACTTCACCCTCTGAGGTGCAGTCCAAAGTTCAATGCTCCCTCTCGCAGCGACCTTGCAAGCACAGCAAGCCCCTGAACAGATTCTGTTGGCCACAATCGGGAGAAAGTAACAGATGAGGCCATGCATACAGAGGGACCGGTTTTGACAAGTGCTAACTTAATTTCTGCTTCGATCACCCCATTATCTTAGATTTAATGGTACAGTCCAGGGTGGGAGGAAGGGCTGAGGGGAGAGAGGTCCAAGTGCCTCTCCTTTCCAAGCTACAACAGGGAAAAACATTTTGCTTAGCCAGCAAGTTGCACAGCTGTTTAAAAGAAGGAAAAAACATCTCTTTTCTTCCTTTTCCTTTGGGTTGAGGAAGTTCGAGTCTAAAACTCACACTGTAAGCGTCTTTAAGAAGTCACCTGCTGCTCAGAGTATTTGGGTCTCCTGCTGCTGCATACCTGTGTCCACGTTGGGCTGTGTTCAACTGAAGCTGAATTGGTGTGCAGTCTCATGGGGCCTCCACTCTTTTGGTTTCCCATAATATAATGAAATAAGAAAAATAGTCTCCAATCTGAAAGAAACAGGCCTCATTTAAAAAATTATAGTTATTCCCATTCTCTTTGTCTCTCTGTCTCTCTGTCTCTCTGTCTCTCTGTCTCTCTCTCTCTCTCTCTCTCTCTCTGTGTGTGTGTGTGTGTGTGTGTGTGTGTGTGTGTGTGTAAAGACGCACACACAGAAACACACACATGGGCTGGGGGACAACAGACCAGCAGTACACACACATGCCACAGTGCTAACGTAAAGATCAGAAGACAATTCTGTGGCATTGGTTCTCTCCTTTCTCTTTCTGTGGCTTCCCCTTTAAGTGAGTTCTTCTTTGTGTGAGTTCCAGGAATGGAATTCAGGCCAGTCTTTCTTGGCTACAGCTCTTACCCTCTGAGCCGCTTCCATGGCCCCAAACCACATTTTCTTGGTAACAGTAGTCCTCCTCAAAGGCAGACCTATGAACCCCAACAGAATCTTTTTAACCGTTGCTTTAGGGTTATATGTGTTATATTTTTTATTTATCTTAAGAATTCCATGCATGGATACAATATACTTTGATCGAGTCTATCTCTCCTGGCCCCTCCCTCCCAGCTTCATGTAGTGTCTTGGTCAGTTCGATGGTTTTGTTTCAGTTTCAACCTACTGAGTCCAGTTAATGCTGCTGATACCTGTACAGGTGTGGGGCCATCCAACAGAGCATTACAACCTACCAAAAGCCACACACTTGAAGAAAAACAACTACCGTGGTAGCCATCATCTACCAGAAGCTCCTCAGTTAGGGGTGGGAATTTCCTGAGTCCTCTCCCTTGCACACTCAAGTACTAACTGCCTTGATTTTGTGCAGGGAACAGCAGCTGCTGGGAGTTCCTGAGAACACCGGCCCTGTGGTGTTCAAAAGACACTAATTCACAGCAGTCCTCCCCGACTCTGGTTATTACAAATGGTCTACACCTTTGAAGATGTTCCCTGTATCTTGAGAGACTTGATAGAGATGATCACTTAGGGCTGAGTTTTTTGCCCTTGAGCAACTGTTAGTCTCTCTACTACCCCCACAACCCACTGCAAAAAGAAACTTGTCCCATGAGGGCTGGGAGCTGTGCTGATCTTCCCAGAGTTTTAAAGATTCTCAAGTGAAATCTTTACAAAGATAAGTATCATACAAACAAATTACTAGTTGGGTTTGGGGAAGGTCCAGAAATTTCAAAATGAAAGAAGATTCCTACAAGCCAGGAAGAGAACATTTCCTTCAGGTACTTGCATAATGTGGCATACTTAGAGCGGTCAGGGCAATGAGTGCGTAGGGTCTCTCACCCCTGCCCACACTCTGTCCTGAGCGAAATTCACAGAATGATTTGACCGCTTTGTGGCCCCAGCTAGCTGCTTTTTTTTTTCCAGCAAGTTTGAGCCTAAGCCCCCAGGACCTTAAATGTTCCAAAGTGTGAATAAAGGTTTTTAAATAAAACACTTTGAAGAACTTACTCTCTAACCTTGAGCCAAAGCTCTTTAGACCCTCATATACAGCCAGTATTCAAACCCCACACTGAGGGAACACTTGGGTGGAACCTCTCTTCTCTCTCCATAGTCCTCTCAAGGATACCCTGTAGCACGAGTAAGCACACTCTGGATGACACCCTACTGCTTGGTGTTTCTTAAGATCTTGTCTCAGCTTTCTGTATGACTTCAGCTGTGAGGCCAGCATGACAGAACACAGTAATGGATGATGTCATCCTTGGTGGCAATGTTTTCAAATAAGGCCTTTTTGCATAGTCGATGCATTTTTGTACAAACAAACCCCTATTGATTGCCATGTGCTAAATACAGTCATACAGGGGACAGGGGACAGAAAACACTAGAGTCTCAGCTGTTATTCTTCCCATATAGAAACTTCGTTTGAAATGAAAAGGCATTTGAGGACCCAATTCTACCAAGTAGGTAGCCTACTGGGGTCCCAGATCCCTATAAGAATCCAAGTAAAATAATTTCTCCAGAAAAATATAAATAAGTAATGCACATATGCCTATTCTCTTTTAAAAAACAACCTAATGAAACAGTATTTGTCTGAAGCAGGTAAGTTTCTTGTTGTTTGTTTTCTTGACTGACTTAAACAATCAGGTGGTCTGTGTACATCCAGAAAGCGAATATTTTTCACTTTCTCTTCCCTACATTGCATTTGGCTTAGCAGATACCTCTTTCCCCCAAAAGGATCTCTGTCAAGTGATGCCCGGCAGAGTGCAAACAACAAAAGGAGATGGTGGAAAGTCTCTGCTTGAGAGGAGGTGCTGGGCTGCATGGACATTGAGCGCTCTGAAGAAAGCAGAATTTGTGCCAGGCAGTGGAGACACACGCCTTTAATATTAACATTCAGGAAGCAGAGGCAAAAGGATCTCTGTAAATCTGAGGCCAGCTTGGTCTACAGAATGAATTCTATGACAGGCAAGGCTACACAGAGAAACCCTGTCTTGGAAAAAAAATTTTAAAGCCAAATTTTTAGGCAAGCATTGATTAGGTGCTAAATCAAATTACATTAAATCAAATGAATTGGCTCTATATGGAAAAATTCAAAATATTGCTGTGAAGATTAAAAAACTAATTTTTAAAAACTGTAGCCTTTGTTCTCAAGGACATCAAAATTGAGTAAGCAAGTAAGCAGGAAAAATACAACCCCAAGTGTAATTGCATCTAGTAAGGGACCTTGGAAATAAATTAAACAAAAAAAAGACAGTCTGACAGGCAGATGCCTTTAATCCCAGCAGTCAGGAGGCAGAGGTGGGTGTCTATGAGTTCAAGACAAACCTGGTCTACATGACAAGTTCCAGGAGAGCCACAGCCACATGGTGAGACCCTGCCTCAAAAATAAATAATAAGTAAATAAAGGAGCTCTGAACCCAGACGGAGGATGAGACAGGCGTGGTGAGATCAGCACACACTCAAACAGGTTCAGCAGACTTTATCTCTGCTTTTACCATGCACCTGCAGAACGCCCAGCAAACCTGAACTTGCACACTATCTAGCCTGTTCTTGATGACCTCAGTATTTTTGAACAATTCTAATCTCCTGGCAGATTTCTCTGGCAACCCGAACATAATCCAATATTAACATCACCGAGAATAGCTATCAAGTTTAACTTTATCCTAATGATCTCATCAACTTCCAACCCGGAGTCAGGACCTAGTGCCTTCATGTCTCACCAGTCTATCCCCAGGTGTTTTCACAGATGTTTAGCCTGTGTCTTCAATAAGCATTCTTGTCTTTTTATAAGATGGGAGTAATTTCTCTGAAGCATCTGAGTCCATGATAAAAGAGCTGTATAGACTATAAACTGTGATTTTATAAACCGGTTATTAGCTAAGACAGCTGATAATGTGGCATCAACCCACTGAGATCTAAATAGCAGTAAGTGAAGAAATGCTATTCTTATACACCTACAAATTATTAACCTCTAGTTTAAGCTATGTCTTAGATGTAATGGGAAACAAGACTTCCACAACAGTATTGGAATAGTGCTTATTAACCCAAAAGCTATCCCTCCCTGGCCCAAGCAAGCACAAACTTATCCTAAATGCTATCGGATGAATGGTTCCAAATATAGTAGCATTTAGACATCCATCCACATTGAAAGATTAGCAGGAAGGATGCTTAGGAAAAAACAAAGCATTTTTAAGTAAAAGCGATCTATGGCCAACGGAAGGCTTGGGAACAACAACGTGGATTAGATAAGGCCTAACTGACCCTTTGAGATTCAGATGAAACCGTTTCGTGCTTTGAAAGGAGATTTCCATCAAGCTCACAAGTTTACAGACCTAAAACCTGTTTGATGACTCAAACATAAATGAGATTGGGGAGTACTACATACAGTGCCAAGTTTCATGTGGGGCTGGGTACCGCCAAAGAATAACAAACATCAAAAGAATGTTACCTGAAAAAAAAACCTTTTAATTGTAAAACAACCTTGCCCAAACCAAAGCTATAGTGTCTCTCAGCTCTTCCAGTATCATTATCAACTACCTTGTTACAAACAAGGGTGAGGAATCGGGTAGCCGCTGCAATAGCGTTGATCTCTTCATAGTGCCCACATAAGGTTAAGGCAGAGAGCTGGGATCAGAAAAGCAAGTGGAACCCGTGTCTGTCCAGACACCTGCACAGGCACTGACTATAGACAGTCAACAGGGCAGGGTGAGAAGGGCCAGATGCAGGTCCCCTGGACAGGAAGTAGGAGCCTGGCACAGATGCCCTCAAGGCCATGAGTGGCCTGGATCTCGGCAGTGAGGACTCGCTGAGCACTTTGACACATTTTTAATATTTGCTGAAAGAGTGGATAAATGACTGGTGAATTTTCCCAGGAGACTTAAGAACTGGAAAGTCTGATTATGGAAACTAGAAAATTCCTTATAAGCCAGAGTAAATCATTTACTAATGTCTACCTTAAAACTATTTTATCTTGGACATTGGCCAAGGTCAGAGTTATCTTATTGCCAATGAAGCCCCATACTTATTCACTTTCTCCCATGTTCATGCTCTTTTAAATGTTTGGTC